ACCTCTAGAGTCTGGAGGGCGTTCATGGAACGCTTGGGGGTCTCGGTTAGCCTTACCTCGGGTTACCACCCTGAGAGTAACGGGCAGGTGGAGAGAGTGAACCAGGATGTGGGTAGGTTTCTGAGATCCTATTGCCAGGGCCGGCCGGAGGAGTGGTCGGGGTATATCCCCTGGGCAGAGATGGCTCAGAACTCTCTTCGCCACTCCTCTACTAACCTGACCCCTTTTCAGTGCGTGTTAGGGTATCAGCCGGTTCTGGCACCATGGCATCAGAGCCAGATCGAGGCTCCTGCGGTGGATGAGTGGTTTCGGCGCTCGGAGGAGACGTGGAACGCTGCACACGTACATCTGCAGCGGGCCATCCGCAGGCAGAAGGCGAGCGCCGATCTCCACCGCAGTGAGGGTCCAGTATACGCCCCTGGAGATCGAGTCTGGCTCTCGACTCGAAACCTGCCCCTTCGCCTGCCCTGCCGGAAGCTTGGCCGGCGGTTTGTGGGGCCATTTAAAGTCCTGAGGAGATTGAACGAGGTGTGTTACAAGTTGCAACTGCCTAATGACTATCACATTAACCCCTCGTTACATGTGTCTCTTCTCAGGCCGGTCGTAGCTGGTCCACTCCAGGAGAGTGAGATAAGAGAGACCCCTCCGCCCCCACTGGACATCGAGGGGGCTCCGTCGTACTCAGTCCGGTCCATCGTGGATTCGAGACGTCGGATGGGGGGTCTACAATATCTCGTGGAGTGGGAGGGGTACGGTCCGGAGGAACGGTGCTGGGTGCCTAGGAGTGACATTTTAGATCCATCCCTCCTGACTGAGTTCCACCGTAGTCATCCTACGCGCCCTGCTCCACGTCCTCCTGGCCGTCCCCGAGGCCGGGGTCGGCGCACGGCTGGAGCCGCGCGTCCAGGGGGGGGTACTGTCACGAATTCCGCCGAGACTGCTCCTCCTCCTTGTTCGGGCAGGCTTCGGCGTTCGTCGTCCCCGGAGTACTAGCTGCTACCGCTTGATGTTCTCTATGTTTGTTTGGTTTTGTCTTGTTGGTGCACCTGTTTCGTATTATGTATTGATTAGGTCACCTATAAGTTTCCTTTGGTTTTGTTTGCAGTTGTGTGTTGTTGTCCGCCTGTCCACTGGTGTATGTTATTTGTTTTCTAGTTGTTAGTGTTTTACGCACTGTTTGCGTAATCGCTCGCCTCCTGTGTTTTGAGGCCCGTTATTTTGTATTTGTCTTTGTGACAATTAAAAGTCGTTTTCGGCTAAGCTTCTGTGTCCTGCGCCTGACTCCAACACCGCATCCACATCAGCTTCTGACAAATCCAAATTTGAGATTTTTGGTTCCAACCGCCGTGTCTTTGTGAGATGCGATGTGGGTGAATGGATGATCTCTGCATGTGTTTTTCCCATTGTAAAGCATGGAGGAGGAGGTGTTATGGTGTGGGGCTGCTTTGCTGGTGACACTGTCTGTGATGTATTTAGAATTCAAGGCACACTTAACCAGCATGGCTCCAACAGCATTCTGCAGCAATACGCCATCTCATCTGGTTTGGGCTTAGTGGGACTATCATTTGTTTTCAACAGGACAATGACCCAACACACCTCCAAGCTGTGTAAGGGCTATTTTACCAAGAAGGAGAGTGATGGAGTGCTGCATCAGATGACCTGGCCTCCACAATCCCCCGACCTCAACCAAATTGAGATGGTTTGGGATGAGTCGGACCGCAGAGTGAAGGACAAGCAGCCAACAAGTGCTCAGCATATGTGGGAACTCCTTCAAGACTGTTGGAAAAGCATTCCAGGTGAAGCTGGTTGAGAGAATGCCAAGAGTGTGCAAAGCTGTCATCAAGGCAAAGGGTGGCTACTTTGAAGAATCTCAAATATAAAATATATTTAGATTTGTTTAACTCTTTTTTGGTTACTACATGATTCCAAATGTGTTATTTTATAGTTTTGATGTCTTCACTATTATTCTACAATGTAGAAAATTGTGAAAATAAAGAAAAACCCTGGAATGAACTTTTGACTGGTAGTGTAGTTTTAGAAGTTCCATTAGGAGGGAGTTGAGGATTTCACCCACTGGCTTTACAGCACTGAGCATACCAGTATCATAACCAAGGACTGTGGAAATTACAGTAAAGTTTTTCTCCAGCCTCATCATTTTGTTAATCAATTGTATGAGCAGAGACACGCTAGCAATGAGGCCATAGTCTTTCTTTAGACCATAGAATACCATTCAATTTAAGGGTGGGCATGTTTGTTGAAGAAAGTTACATTGGCGTGTAAATGATGAAATGCCATAAGATTCTACGGTTATTCATTACCTGATGGATACAAATCAGATGATGCTGTGAAATATCTTAAAATTGTTCATTTTACATTACATTTTAGTCATTTAGCAGACGCTCTTATCCAGAGCGACTTACAGGAGCAATTAGGGTTAAGTGCCTTGCTCAAGGGCACATCGACAGATTTTTCACCTAGTCGGCTCGGGGATTAGAACCAGCGACCTTTCGGGTACTGGCACAACGCTCTTAACCACTAAGCTACCTGCCGGGTAGGACAGTACAGTCATGGTCAAAAGTTTTGAGAATCATGGTCAAAATCATGGTCATGAGTTTTGAGAATGACACAAGTATTGGTCTTCACAAAGTTTGCTGCTTCAGTGTTTTTAGATATTTTTGTCAGATGTAACTATGGTATACTGAAGTATAATTACAAGCATTCCATAAGCGTCAAAGGCTTTTATTGACAATTACATTAAGTAATGCAAAGAGTCAATATTTGCAGTGTTGACCCTTCTTTTTCAAGACCTCTGCAATCCGCCCTGGCATGCTGTCAATTAACTTCTGGGCCACATCCTGACTGATGGCAGCCCATTCTTGCATAATCAATGCTTGGAGTTTGTCCGAATTTGTGGGTTTTTGTTTGTCCACCCGCCTCTTGAGGATTGACCACAAGTTCTCAATGGGATTAAGGTCTGGGGAGTTTCCTGGCCATGGACCCAAAATGTCGATGTTTTGTTCCCTGAGCCACTTAGTTATCACTTTTGCCTTTTGGCAAGGTGCTCCATCATGCTGGAAAAGGCATTGTTCGTCACCAAACTGTTCTTGGATGGTTGGGAGAAGTTGCTCTCGGAGGATGTGTTGTTACCATTCTTTATTCATGGCTGTGTTCTTAGGCAAAATTGTGATTGAGCCCACTCCCTTGGCTGAGAAGCAACCCCACACATGAATGGTCTCAGGATGCTTTACTGTTGGCATGACACAGGACTGCTGGTAGCACTCACCCCAGTCCTCAGCAGTCCAATCCCTGTACTCTTTGCAGAATATCAGTCTGTCCCTGATGATATTCCTGGAGAGAAGTGGCTTCCTCGCTGCCCTTCTTGAGACCAGGCTATCCTCCAAAAGTCTTCACCTCACTGTGCGTGCAGATGCACTCACACCTGCCTGCTGCCATTCCTGAGAAAGCTCTGCACTGGTGGTGCCCCGATCCCGCAGCTGAATCAACTTTAGGAGACGGTCCTGGTGCTTGCTGGACTTTCTTGGGCGCCCTGAAGCCTTCTTCACAACAATTGAACCTATCTCCTTGAAGTTGTTGATGATCCGATAAATGGTTGATTTAGGTGCAATCTTACTAGCAGCAATATCCTTGCCTGTGAAGCCCTTTTTGTGTAAAGCAATGATGACGGCACGTGTTTCCTTGCAGGTAACCATGGTTAACATTTGAAGAACAATGATTTCAAGCACCACCCTCCTTTTAAAGCTTCCAGTCTGTTATTCTAACTCAATCAGCATGACAGAGTGATCTCCAGCCTTGTCCTCATCAACACTCTCACCTGTGTTAACGAGAGAATCACTGACATGATGTCAGCTGGTCCTTTTGTGGCAGGGCTGAAATGCAGTGGAAATGTTTTTTGGGGATTAAGTTCATTTTCATGGCAAAGAGGGACTTTGCAATTAATTGCAATTCATCTGATTACTCTTCATAACATTCTGGAGTATATGCAAATTGCCATCATAAAAACTGAGGCAGCAGACTTTGTGAAAATGTATATTTGTGTCATTCTCAAAACTTTTGACCACGACTGTACGTTTTGGTAGTTAAGAGAGTGTGTTGTAAACATTTTTATAAATTCCTTATTGTTCTGGCTTTTGAACAAGTTTGTATCAGGCTGTATAATCCCTCATATTAAGAAATAATTCAGTTTCTTTCTCATATTTAGTGTATGAATACTAGGCCTATCTCTCAGACTAGAGACATTGGAAACACTCAATAGGTTTTTGGCTGCCACAGCATCTCCATGAGGGCTACTGAAGTATTGCACTGTGTTGAAGTAAAACATTTGAGTAAAATGTATAGTTGTTGTATCATAGCTAATTATTTTTATAAATAGATCAAGTACATGAACTACATAATAGTGTATTATCATAGTACATTTAATTTAATTAAAGAGCTTTGTTTTATAAGGTATTTGACCAAAATCAGAGAGACCCACCAAGGACCCATTTACTATGTAGGATAAGACAACACAGGCTTGCTCTGTTACTGTTATTGATAGAGGCCAAGCAAGATAGATGCAAGGTTATGAATGGGTGGGGAGTGATATAGAAAACATTTATCTCATCATTTGCGGTCCAAATCGTCTTTATTCATGTTTTTCTTTTCAAGTTTAAAAAAAGAACAAGACACATTGGGAGCAAAATAAGACTAGTCAAGTTTGCGGTCTTTCCTTGTGAATAATAAACTAAATTAGTAACTTACAAAAAAGACATTGAAATTAATTATAATATGAATAGGCTACATGTGAGAATAACAGTTATGTTTGCAAGTTGAAAGCCAATGAATTGGGTGTATATGTTTTACATGTCAAGCAATGAATGGAATAGGAATTTCAATGTCCATCTGTTTGTCACTCACTGTCACAAAAGACTCAGCATTTCTGGTAATGTCCTGAAGAAACTCAATGACCTTGGTGTGGATGGCATTAATGCTCTGAATCATGGCTTTTGAACAAGTTTGTATCAGGCTGTATAATCCCTCATATTAAGAAATAATTCAGTTTCTTTCTCATATTTAGTGTATGAATACTAGGCCTATCTCTCAGACTAGAGACATTGGAAACACTCAATAGGTTTTTGGCTGCCACAGCATCTCGTTGAGGGCTACTGAAGTATTGCACTGTGTTGAAGTAAAACATTTGAGTAAAATGTATAGTTGTTGTATCATAGCTAATTATTTTTATAAATAGATCAAGTACATTAACTACATAATAGTGTATTATCATAGTACATTTAATTTAATTAAAGAGCTTTGTTTTATAAGGTATTTGACCAAAATCAGAGAGACCCACCAAGGACCCATTTACTATGTAGGATAAGACAACACAGGCTTGCTCTGTTACTGTTATTGATAGAGGCCAAGCAAGATAGATGCAAGGTTATGAATGGGTGGGGAGTGATATAGAAAACATTTATCTCATCATTTGCGGTCCAAATCGTCTTTATTCATGTTTTTCTTTTCAAGTTTAAAAAAAGAACAAGACACATTGGGAGCAAAATAAGACTAGTCAAGTTTGCGGTCTTTCCTTGTGAATAATAAACTAAATTAGTAACTTACAAAAAAGACATTGAAATTAATTATAATATGAATAGGCTACATGTGAGAATAACAGTTATGTTTGCAAGTTGAAAGCCAATGAATTGGGTGTATATGTTTTACATGTCAAGCAATGAATGGAATAGGAATTTCAATGTCCATCTGTTTGTCACTCACTGTCACAAAAGACTCAGCATTTCTGGTAATGTCCTGAAGAAACTCAATGACCTTGGTGTGGATGGCATTAATGCTCTGAATCATGGAGTCAATCCAGGACTGGATGTCAGCGTTGAGCTGCTCAATGGACATTTCAGCAAAGAGGTCGCGATATTCTCTGATGATTCTCTTGGCTTCCTCGATCTGCTGTGTAATATCAGACATGGCACGGGAGTTGATGGCTTCGCTGTAGACGTCACTCATCCACATGGTGAGTTTCTCCGCATCCTGAGATTTCAGGGAGACAATGAGCTCTTCGGATTTCTCCACGGTTAAGCGCAGGAATGCAGACAGCCTGCTCACAATATCCTCCAGAGGGACATCTCCGACTCTCTTCACAATGATGATCACCTGCTCCTGGATCTTCTCAATGGCGGCCATCAGGTCATCTAGGATTTCTCTCCCGCTGATGAAGTTGCTGGAGCCGGGAAGAGTGAATTTTATGTTTCTGATCTGTTCGAGGAGAGCGGCACCGTGGGAGGCGAAGAATTCTGGAACCTTCTTGAAAGCTTCCTCAACAAATTCAGCGAAGAATCCACTCAGTTTCTGGTAGGCCTCAAGACCGGACATCTTTCCCTCAAGTCCAGGCATCTGGAACTGGGTCTCTCTCAGGAACTTGATGGCAGCATCGAGCAAAACCTGAACGTTCTTCTGGTACTGCCTGAGAACGAACATGACACTGTCAGAGAGCTTGTCGGTGATGGCGGTAAGGTCCATAGCTGCAATGTTTTCTGCAGCCCTCTTGTACATGACCTTGCCCTGATCCGTGATCTGCTCCATGCTACCCTCAAGTTTGTTGGCCATCTTCTGGGGAGCAGACAGGATATCCTCCATGCGAACCGCTGACATGATCTCAGGCACCTTGTCCTTCACTACCAGGAGCATCTCAGTGGGAACCTCCATATTCCAGGTGGTCTGAATTTTCAGCTTCTCAGAGTTGATCACAGACATTTTCAGGCCCATGATCTCCACATCAGTGGTGGGTTCAGACTGCATGAGAGAATGAAAACAGAAACAGAAATAGGTGAGTGAAACAGCATTGTTACATGCTCTACATGGCTGTCATAAACACATTGCAAACAGTGCTTATGAAGTCATTGAAATGTACATGAGTCTTACCGGGTATCTGCCGTAGATTCTTCCTTTCACTTGGACTGGTTTATTGGCCTGCAGCTGGAGTCCGAGGAGTCCAGCATTTGGAGAGGACACAGAGATGATGAGGCCATCCTGCGCATTTCCAAAGACCTCCTGGTTGACTTCCAGAGTCCAGAGGGTAGGGACATTGACCTTAGCTGTATTTGTGATTGAGGCATCCATACCGTCGCCATTGAGGCTGATGGTGCTGTCATGGCTGCCCTCAATACACATGGCTTCCAAATTCAGGATAGAGGCCAGTTTCACTCCATTGTTCCTGTTCAAGGTGGTGGTACCATCAATCTTGGCCTTCAGAGCATCAAACTCAGAGGTGGAGGAAGCGTCAAATCGGACAATGATATCATCCTGATTGAGGACACCAGCATTTGCCTTCACTGTCAGCACAGCTGTCTTCATGGAGAACTCGTAGGTCAGGTCACCGAAGACAGGGATCATGATGTTGCTCTGCATTTTGGGCAGAGTTATTTTTGGCAGGGTCAGCTTGCTAAGAGCAGATGGAACATGCAAAGTAGGCATTGTGATGAGACTGAAGTCGGGCACGGGAATCGTGAAACCAGATACTTCAATATTCAGCACTGGAACTTTGTATGCTGGAACAGTGAGAGTTTTGGGTAGCTCAATGTTGTATTTCTCGTACTCTGCCTTTGCCTGGTCAAATGAGGTAGAGAGAACGGCAACAGCCTTGTCCCTTCCAACAATCATGTTCTTGTTCAGACTCCTGGTGTGCTTGTTGATGGCATTGAAGATTGGCTCCATGTCAATGTCAATGGTGATCATCTCAGGGTTCTTCTTGTATGTGAGCTTGGTGTCCATGTCAAAGGTCTGCTGAGGTGTGGTCAAGAGCACACTCAGACCGGTGTCCTCCCACAGAGAGAACTCAGTCCTACCAATGAATTCTACAGCTCTCTTGGGAATGGCGATGGGCTCCCTCAATGCATCAAGGTTCGCTTCTCCATTGATCTGGGTGAAGACGTGGATTTCCTGCTCACTGTTGTCCATTGTGAAGTAGTGTGAGTATTTGTACTGGTTGAATCGTGCCAGTCCAGTCCAGCTAGCCTGCTGCACTTTAGAGTTGAGGGTAAAGGCAAAGTCATTCTGAAGATCAATCTTTCCAGTCAGCTTGAAGGGAAGTGCAACTTTGGTGTTTTCCTTGTTCTTGGTGTCAAACACAAACTCATTGGGTGTAGCGATGAAGTTGATTGAGTTGGAAATAATTCCCTCAACTTTGCCTACCAGCTCTGTGTTGCAGGAGGCAGTTACCTCAATTTTCAGATTCTGCACCTTAGCCTCTGCTTTCAACTCAGCAACACTGCTCTTGATGAAGGGAGTTTTGGTCTCAGCGTTGGCTTCAATGAGGATGTGACTGAAAATGACGGCTTCAGCATTCACATTCTGCTTTATTTTCAGGTTGTTGGTGTCGGTTGCCCCAGTGAAGGTCAGTTTGACAGTGTTGAGGTTCATGACAACCTGCATGTCGTACTTGTGGGTTCCTTCATCTGAGTAATCCTGGATGGCAGATTTACCGTTACCCTCATTGGTAAGAGTCAGAGTTACAATGCCAGCTTCCAGGAGGGCAATTGCCTTCTGGGTAATGGCAGCCTCGCTGAAGATGTTGAGAAGTGGCAGGTTCACCTTGTGGTTGTAGGTAGTCTCCAGTGTGGTAGAGACTCCATTCTCCATGTCGAAGAAGGCATTGCTAACCAGCTCGGCAGTGTAGGGCTCAGTAGTGGCCTTGGCATTGGTCTTGGAGGAAGCCTGGGCTGATGTGCCGTAGAAGGCAACTGTTCCCTGGTGGTCCATGGAGAAAGTGGTGTGCATGATCTTGATGTTCTCAGAGAGAGACAGGTGGCTCATCTTGGGCACAGCAATATCAACTTTGGCATCCAGGGTATAGGCTAGCAGATCAGAGGTAGAAGTGGCCTGAGATTTGAGGATAATGTAGAACTCTGGTGTTACTTTGGTAGTTGTGGCATTCCGGAACTCAGCATTGGTGCTCATGCTGTAGTCAGGTGAGGTGACTCTGAACTCTCCGTTGAGTTTTCCGAAACAGGGGACCCTGCTCAGTTCGATGACTTTCTGTTTCAGCTCCTCGGCGAATGTGTTATAATCGAAAGACCTGATCTTCTCGGTCAGTCTATCGAAATAGACATTCATGTTGTCTACCATTTGCTTGAAGTCAAAGGCATTCAGTTCATTTACAAACTCATTCACATGTGTCATGATTTTGTTCAGCAGGGCTTGGATATCAATAGACTTAAGAGCGTTGCTTGCTGACTGAATGTGTTCTCTGAGCTGGTAGGACTTCATGATTATGACAACCTCATCCATGATGTTCTCAACCATCTTTTCAACCTCATAATTGGACAGGATCTCTTCAATTTTGGTGTAAATACCATTCATCTTGCCAGCGATGTCATTTTTCTTGATCCACCTCATAATAGTGTCCCTGATTGACTTAAGGATATTAATGATTTCTTCAGTGGGAATCTTGGCCATCAGTGTGGGAATGTGGCTTTCAATGGAATTGATGAAGTTCTTCAGGTCCTGAATGAACAGGTTGATGTCGAAGCTCTCAATAACTTGTTTCAGTTCACCCACTTTCCCCTGGATCTTGGCTCTAATTTCGTATTTGGTGTCAATATCCAGCAGCAGGCCTTTGCTGTTCTCCATTGTCATCATTGTGGCAATTTTGACTTGTTCAATGACTGCAGGGAGATGCTCAATGAATGGCAGCTGAATGAAATGGCTGTCAACATTCTTCTCGTACTTCAGGGAGCCAGAGATGGCATATTCCTGGTTTTCACTGGCCTTGTTCAAGATGGTGGTGAAGACAGCTCCTGTCATCTCCATTCCCATCGTTTCAGCATTGTTCAAGGCGCTAAGTTCTTGGTTGAATTCATGGTTATTCAGTTTGGATGTCATCTTCATTGAGGCATACTGCTCCTGAGGAGTCAGACGACTGGTGATCTTGTTGCCCAGGTTGGTCTTGACAGAGTCTCCATTTTCCAGCTGGAGGGTGGTGGAGGCCTTGCATTCGTGGGAGTGGGAGAAAGCTAGGGGCTCTGCCTTCAACAGGAACTGGTTGAACAGCTCAATGTTCTGAATTCCGAACATATTCGGAGTTCCGTTGGAGTTGAATAGGGCAGAAATGTCAACCATGAATGGCTCAGCGACAATGTTGATAGTGCTGTCCAAGTTCAGTGCTGTCCCCAGGATAGTTTGAGAGTTGATGCTAGCCACACTGTTGAACTTGGTGGACAGACCAGCGATCTCGAGGTCAGCGGTTTGTGTCATCTGAGAGAGTGCATATTTTCCATTGGTGTTGCACTTAGCAGTGGTGGTCATGTCAGCAAAACTGATCTCATAAGTGTGCTTGAAATTGGCCTCTTCGGAAGAGACTCCCTTCAGGCTGCCGGTCAGTTCCATCTTGTAATCCTCAACCTTGAACATGGCCTCATTGACAAAGTTAATCTCTGTGATCTTGAGGTCGTTTTTCACGTTCACAGCAACGCCCGAGCGCTGAATGTCGACAGAGATGTCGTGCTTGTAGGTGTTCTCCTTGTTGAATAAGTTCTCGGTCTTAGAGCGGAGGGCCAGGGATTTGAGAGTGAGAGTCAGGGTGTGTGTGTTCTCAGTCTCCATCTGATACAGTTCAGCGACCAGCTTGTTGGTGAGGTCCAGACCGTCTTCGTTCACCTTCAGGTTCACTCTGTTCATGGTGTTGGCATCGAAGAGATTTCCCTTGAACATGCTGTTTAGGTAGACCTCAGAGCTTGCCACTTTCCCCTCCAAGTTGAGCTCGGCGGTGTTCTCCTTAAAGGCTCCCTTGGTGTTGATGGACACATGGGCCCTGGTGGTATCGACTCCACCATTGAAGACATTCTCAAAGGTTATGGGGCTGCTTTGGGCGGTGGTGGTGGCACTTGTTGCTAGACCTTCCTGGCTCAGCGTTAGAGCAGCCTTGTGGGAGGCGCGGCTGCCGAGGACGTTGACGGAAGCATCTGCATTGATCTCCAGACTGGTGGGGTTCAGGGCTCCGGAGAGCAGAGAGTAGGCACGGTTCTCGGTATCATCAGCCTGGTTCTCTACCCTGATGATGGCTTCATCCCTGGAGGCAGTGAAGTCCACTTGGCTGCGGATCATTTTCTCTTCAGCCTTGGTCACAGAGTCGGACTGGATGGTCAGCTGGGCCTCCTTGTAGCCGATGCTAAACTTGGTGGTGTGCTTAATGGGGTCGTTGTTCAGGTTGGTGTTGGACTCAATCAGAAGCTGCTCATTAGCATAGCCGGCCTTGAGCTTGTTGATAATCTCCAGGATTGGGGAGTTCACCCTAAGTGTGGACTCTGCTCTGGCTTCTTTCTTCATGGGTTCGAAAGAGAAAGACTGGGAATAGGTGGTGCTGGCGGTCACTGATCCAAGGGTTACACTTCCATCCATGTTAGCATCTCCAATGAGCATGTCAGAGGCCAGGGAGGCCTGGGAAGTGATGTCCAGGGACGTCTGCAGACCCAGAGGGCTGAAGACCTGAATCTTGTGGTTGCCTGTGGCTCTCACTTTGTCTGACATACTGACGGTTTCCATTACCTCAAAGCTGGTGTCAATGAGCTTGTGGCTCAGGGAACCATTCAAAATAGCATTCAGAGAGTCTTCTGGCATGTCAGTGATGAAGGCTGTTCCTGTAATGAGACAAAACAAGGGACATGAAGTCACTATAGTATACACAAGGTAAATCAGTCAAAATGACTCAAGGTCAGTTATATTGTATGATCTAATTTGAAGTTATAATGTAACATGTTTCTCCCCTCCAAACATGATAATACGGCAATCTGTAAAACTACTAAACATTTCTGATTAGGAAGTTCAATGAACTACTATATATGCTTTTGATAAGGTTATAACATCAAAAAGGTAAAAAGAAGTTGAGAGAAAAGGTTTACCTTCAGATGTGAAAGCGAGGAGTTCAATGGGACTGTCAGCCACCACCTTAAACTTGGCAATGTAGCTGGGGGACTCCACAGAGTTGTTGCCACCGGAGACCATTCCCTCCCAGTTGTAGTAGTTGCTGTTCACCTTAGCAGACACTTCAACCATTCCAAAGAGTGGCACAGTGAGCTCGTAGTCGTTGGGGATGGAGAAGGTGGGGACCTTGACCTCCTTGGAGGCAAGCTCCAGACCGACCTGGGGCACAGACAGATGTGGGGTGGTCAGCATGGCAGGAATCCTCAGCTCCTCAGATGACTTTCCTCCGAGTGGCATGGGGATGGTGATGGTGACACGGTCCTTGTTGAACTGGTATTTGAATGTGCCCTCACTGTTGAAGGAATGAAATAATGAGATGTCTATGGATTTACTTTTTTTGGACACTGACATCACATAGAAGATTAATAGGCTCTATAAAAAGAGACCCCAAAATAGTTTACTGCTTTCAGATGTACTTACGATTTCAGGAACAGTCTTTCGGGCATAGCGGGCATTGCCAGCTCTGGCATGTTGTCCTTCAGTGTCTTAACCATGGGAACATCAAAGGTGATTTTGTTCATCCAATTGTTGCCGGCCTGTTAAAAAACAATTTTGTTATGTGTTGATCTGCCACCATTGGTTTGACTTCTATGGAAGAATAAAACATGGAAAGAATTGAGGAGACTGTACGAAAAGTATTTGGGTGTTGTCTTACCTCAAGAGACTTGGTGAAGATGTGACGCAGTTTCATGTCGGTGTTGACCACCTGCTTGTCCAGGATGTCCTCAGAGAGCTGCTTCAGCCATGCCTGGAGGGCTTCGGTATGAGGGATGAGCTTCTGGATCTCAGAGCCCATGTCGGACACCAGCTGAACCTCAACCTTGTTCTCATCTAAAAGGAAAACATGTTGTATTATTAGTACATATAACTTTGAACATTATGTCCATTGCATACAAGTCAAATAAACATACCACATAAAGATCAACCTCCTCCCTACACAATGGTGTGTTATGAATTTGTAGAATTAGCATACTGTATTTGAAGATGACTCCCTGAATGGAGGTGGTCTTGGGGAGCTTGATGTCGCTCCTGAGCTCCAGGGTGAGTTCCTCTGCACTCTTCATAGTGGCAGTGATAGCTGCGTCAGTCTTGAGGGCAGGGACAACCAGCTGGACCTGCAGCATACTGTCGGTCATGGCCTCAAGCCTGGAGGAAAGAAAACCATCAGAATCTCTTAGTGATTCAATTAATTTCCAACATGTGCTGATCTATGAAGACACAGACAAATGAATGTGGCTAATGGGGAGGGCTTTTGCGTTTACTTACTTGGCGCGGCCAATTAGAGACAGCTGAGGGATGTTCTTGTTGGTGATGTCGATGGTGATAGACTTTCCATTGGCTCTGCTGTCGGTAAGACCAATCCTGATTCCAGCCTCCACATCATAGTCGGGGATCTGGACGTTGGTGGTCAGGACGTTCCTGTTCCTGTTGTACTTCATGGTGGCGGTGGCCTCAGTGGGTTTAGCACCTAGGTAAACAAGGAGGCAGAGAGTGAGTTGATTTAAACCACTGATTCATAAAGCTGATTCATACCAAACAGTATGAACCATGGGAAATGTAGTGCTTGGACAGAGATGTTCCTACCCTCTGCTCTCAGTGTCATCCTCATGGTGTCAACCTTCTGGCGTCCCTCCTTGCCCTCGCTGAGGAGGTCATAGGCGAAGGTGGCGGTGTACTCAGAGACCTCGCCAGTGGGCTGGATATCAAGAGCAAACCTAGGACAGAGAGACTGTTGTTCAGTATGATGCTAGTTTGATCTTCAAATATGGTGCATTAGCAATTTCCTTCTATAAACACATCCAAACTCCCTCAAATGTTGTCCTTACTTAGTCTCTCCGTTGAGAGGGAAATAGGGAGCGGCAGCGTTGTCACCAGCGATGTTGTAACGGACGGTGGTGCAGTACTTCACTCCAGAGAAGAGAGGGCTGCAGTTCACGACGTTGGTCCTGCCCTCATCCATGGGGGGGATCAGAGTAGCCTGACCAGAGGTCACTGTCAGCATTCTGTTGCTGTTGTTGAAGAGGTGCAAAATAACAAAAAGAAATAACAAATTATGTGACTTTTGATACATTTACTCAATTGTTTTTGATGTACATAGGACAGTATTTTTATTTTTTTTACCTGACTCTGAAGAGCTGGGTTGAGCCCTGAGGAGCAGGGATACTCAGCTTGATCTGGTTCTGGTCCATGGTGATCTTGGCGTTGACTGCGCTTTCGTGGTACATGTTGGTGTGCATCTCCACAGCGGAGCTGGTAAACTCTGGGATGTGTACTCCCATCTGGGTCACAAACTCCACTCCCACAGAGGGCATGAAGGACACTTCCTGCTGTTAAAAAATAGCAGTGAGAGGCACATTAGAAAACTCTGTTATATGTATAAATGCCTTCATATATTATAAATGTTTCATATATTATTATTACAAATGTTATAAATGCTTGAGAATGTTTAACATTTTTTACAAACAATTCGATACAAATGTATTAATAATATGAAATCTACTGTTTCATACTTAGTTTTCATAATTAGAATATTGTGAAAGAATGTTGTTTGAGCGCAGTAAGATAGAAGAGAACAGAGAGTGGGATATTTACCATGTTGCGGTGAAAGCGGAGGCCTCCCTTAGCTCCAGGAGCAAAGGTACCAGACAGAGAGAACTTCAGAGGAAAGCCAGAGGCAGTTGACAGGGAGAACTTGTTGTCCATGAAGATGTAATGGACGAACACTTCATTGTCAGTGCCTGCCACCATCTTCTGCATGAACTAAACCCAGGAAAAAAATTAAATCAATGCCATAATAATAAATAAATATAATATATACCATTTAGCAGATGCTGTTATCCAAAGCAACTTAAAAGTCATTCATTCTTGATAAATGTTGTAAACATTAAATTGTTCTTAGCAGGAAATAAAACAAGAGGGCTCTTCACACTTGGAGGTACACATAGATGTATACATGTGAATTACCTTTGTGGGTATGTCCTTGAGGAGGATCTCAGCGTACATGGCTGCGTATTGGGCGATGCCCTTCAGCTCGCTGCCCTTGATGTATCCAAGCTCAGTTCCCATGATCCTCAGATAGGCCATGGCTTCAGGGGACTCCTGAGCCTGCAGGTCCTTCGCCAGCTTGTTGAAGTTGCGGATAATCTCCCTCATGATGTTCTCTGGGACCTGAAGAAAATATTTGAAAAGAGTTAACAATGGCAATAGTAACATTTACACACAGTTAATGATCAAATAATGCAAACTGAATGTAATAACTTTTTTTTTTACAAGATGTGTGGTAAGCACCTTCGTTTTCTCATTCTTCAAGGGGGCAGCGAAGTTCTTCAGAACCTCGTTCACCTGGTCTGGCATCTTGTCTCCAGCCCAGTACATAGCCTTGGATATGGTGTCGGGGAAGAACCCATTCTTTCCGAACAGAGCCTCAACGGTTGGCTCAAACTCTTTTCCCTCCATGCCAATCTATAGAAAAACAAAACAATGAATGGTCGATGCAATGCAGATTGGATATAACAAAATCCCACTACAAACCTGTTATTATGGATTACTAGACATAAAAACATATTTCTGTTATTACATACCTCCCACATGTCCATGTTATAGCCGAAAGCCTTTAGGGTAGTCTCAAGCATGATCTCCTTGGGCAGTTGGCTGGTGGGATCAAAGATCATATTTCCTTGCATGCTGGTCTTTATGTTGTTCATGGCAGCATCCATCTTGTAGTTGCGAGACATAGTAGTGTAGTCACCATGAGTGGTTGCAATGGTAGGGTCAGCAAGGACATCAAGGATCTTTTCGCCCAGCCTGAGTAGAAAAGTAAAGAATATGGAGATTAGGATTATGGAATATTAAGGAACAGTACTAATACTAGATACTTTACTTTTTGTATAATATTATGACGAAGTCTGTTTCAGATTATATTTATACATACTTTATGGTCTCTGGGTCATTGGAGTGGATGATGTTGTAGATGTGAGAGGTCACGAAGGCCTTGACCTGCGCATTCTGCTCCTGGACGTCTGGTTTCTGCTCCTGCATCGACGCCTTCAGTATTTTCTTCACCAGCTCCAGGTCACTTGCCTCAGGTGTCCTCATCAGAATCAGGTAGGCTGCCAGTCTCTTCTGCACGGCACCCTTAGCATATGAGCTCACCCTCTGGAGGTTAGAGCGCACCTGGAAAGGAAAACAAAATGGCAGCTAATTAGTCAAGGTATTCTTGAAAGGAGATTGTGTGCCACAGCATAGCAGTGCAGGGCCCTTATTCACAAAGTCTCAGAGTAGGAGTGCTGATATAGGATCAGCTTGTCTTTTTAGATCATAATGAAAAACATTATATTGATAGGGGGGACCTGATCCTAGATCATTACTCCTACTCTGACTTTTTGAGTACAGGCCCAGGTTTTTGTTCTTCAAGTTCATTTTGGAGTTTGCATATAGTTTACCTCATCAGTCACAGACATGCGTCTGAAGGCCTGGATGGCAGCAAGCTGGACCTGCAGGGTTGTGGTGGGCTGTCTCATGCACTTCAGCAGGGTGGTCTTCACTGTGGCGTCAGCGGCCTCCATGGCTTCTCCTATGTTGCCAATAATCTGGACGCCATTACAAATAAAGAGAGAGTCAGATAAGCAGTCAATGAAGTCAAGCTTTCCATGTCATGTGATTAGGTGGGAAGAAGAAGCTGATTGGTTGAGCAACAGGTGACAACATACCCTCAGGGTCAGGAAAGTCAGCTCCTTTTCTCCAGCACAATCAGCACCCAAAAGGGAGGCAAGGAACTCCGACACAGCAGCGATCTCGGGGGTGACTTTGCCCTCAGCCTGGTAGAGCCTAGTAACACAAAGCAAGAGGGTGGCAATGAACATTTGGACCACAATGTTTATTAAACTAAACTGAAAACGTCAGTCATTGTCTGTCAGTCAATAACCAAGTAGAGCATACATTTTGGACTTACTTTCTGACGACGTTGCCTAAAGCAAACATGATGGGCTTGCTCTGTTTGTACTGAGCCATGCTGAGCATGTCTTTGACCAGGAGGCGGGAGGGGTTGGGCAGGAGTCCCAGGGCATAGACGGCGGCGTCGACCTCCATAGCTTCAGGCTCGAAGGTCCTGAGATGCTGGAGCATGGCGCTGCTACACTCAGGGGTACCGCACTGGGCCAGGGCCTGCCAGGTCAGGGCGTCCGATACCGACACCATCTCAGGGACGGCGGGGCTCATAGTCTCACCCTTCAGTCCACGGAGCTCAGCCACGAGTCTCTGGAAGGTGCTGGCACGCTGGTGGCCCTGGTTGGTCTTGGACAGGATGCTCAGTTCCCTCAGGGTGGCAAGAGCGACATCTGCTGTCTGGACAGCAGCTTTGTCCTCAGCAGCCTCCATGGGTAGACCCTTGAGGTTGGCCTCATCTTTAGAGAGTAAGATAGAACATATTTCGTTTTCAAGGTAATTCTGTAAAGGCCGCCTGGTACAGTACACATTCTGTTTATCAGTTTGGTAAAAGCAGATTTTTGTCCTGTTTTTTTTTCAAAAGGTTGAAAAGTAAAAGGAACAGAAAAATGAAATTCTTACTGTGGTTGAAAACTCTTTCGTTGATCTTGCTAGTCTCCAGGAGAGTCAAAGTCTGTTTGACCAGTGTTGACACTCCATACTCAGTCCTGCATTTAGGAAGAGGATGGAAGAACGTGACGAATGTTAAACTGGCCAGGATCAAATCTGGGCTAACGTCATTGAAGACTCAGTATTCTATTCATAGGATTAAACAGATTTTGAAGTTGTCTGGATTTACTGGTGGGAGAAAGGCAGGAAGATGTGCTTCTCAGTGCAGGATCCAGCAGTCATGTGCTTCTTCTGGTTGTCAAACTTGTAGTTGCAAGTCTGGGTGCTGCTGATCAGCTTGGACAGTGGGTATTGCTGTTGACAGGGAAGCACAATCAAACGCTTTGTCAGGAACAATAATCATGATGGGTTTATGGTGTAAATCAGGGTTCCCCAACTGCCGTGATTTAATTTATCCCCCCCAAGTAACAAAATAAAAGTTAGTTATATATTTTTTAATTGTTGGACTTAAAAGACTAAAAACACCAGCAAATCACCCCGAGTGATTTTAATTTGGGAACTCTGTTCCAATGTTTGTATATAAATGTAAGCAATGATTATTATCGTATACAAATGTAAGCAATGGTTTTAGTCAAATATTATATCTGTTTGAGCTTCTTGTGGCCAATTTGCAGTCTACAAATTATTTGTAATTATGTTTGGGCCCCCTGACCATCCGCTCAAGAAAAAATTGGCCCGCAGCTGAATCTAGTTGATGATCTCTGGTGTAAATGAATAAAACAATTATATTCTATTCAAATGTAATGCTTAATCGAAGAATGACCAATTGTTTTTTTGTAAATGATCACCATTTATTTTTACAATTCCCCCCCCTTCTTACCATCCCAGAGATGATAGCCAGGGGGCTGGTGTGGTCCCTCTGGGCAACGAAGCTATCGCATTTGGACAGGTCCCTGGTGACGGTGACATCAGTGGCGATGTCTTCCCTGGCATTGACAGCAAAGTTGGTGCCACAGACTCCATGAAGGGTGGCCTGAATGTTGAGAGAGTTTTTGTTAGAGTGAATGATGAACACACATCCATTTCGATTATTAGGTTAACACAATATACTTTGGTATCTGTGATTCTATGTCACATGTCTGGTACCAAGAAGGATATCTACAGATTATAGATCTAGATTCAATAAGATAGATAGACCACAGATGGAGACACACAGTTTTGAGAGTAAGCTATCAAGGACTTTGACCTGCAGCTTTATCTACGGTGCGTTCATTCTAGGTAGTCATTCTAACAACTGGTTGTTTGGTATTTACCACCATAGATAGGGGCATCTTATCTCTTTATTATGCCATTTGTATCTTGATACATCACAAACAAAATCAAATTGCCTCGATGACCCAGACCTCTATGGACCTGATGACTGTTATGTCACGTCACTGACTAATTGGCTGTGAGCTTGCAGGTGAGGAAATTGCCATGGTTACCATGTCCTTGTTTTTCTCTTCCTCCAAAGCAGGCACGATAAGGGCAGAGACAATTCCCCTCTTGATGTTTAAGATGGTGGTGGTCTCATCCTCCTCAGGGAAGAGTTTCACACCTGTCTGTCCCTCAACCATGACCTTCAGGGTGTTCCTGGACAAGAAAGGGGTGATCATCTTAGTAACTACTTATTTCGTATACTCTTATTTTGAAATGAAAAGGTATCTCCGCACATTCAGGATCAATGCACAATTTTCTATTTATTAACGCTGAGCTTTCGTTCGTCAAACCTTCATCAGAGCGTGCTAAGTATACTCTTATTCTGCCATCAAGGGTTATCAAGCAACAGAAAATGTACTATAAATCACTGTGGGAAAAAAGTGACGTGATAACGTACTTCGCCATGGCAGTCTGGAAAGCCTCAGCACCAGCAGCGGGCGCGAACACAGCGGAACCTTCTGCGTCGACGTCAACGACCTCGCTCAGGGCACACTCTGTGGTGCGCAGGATGAAACTGCATGTTTGGGGCACATCGATTTCGACCTGTGAGAAGAAGAAGAAAATGATCGGTCAGAGGACTGTCCCTTTAATGTCCGCTTCTGTAAGGGAGGAATGGAAGTTGAGTGAGAGCACGGAAGAGTTGCTGGAGGGCTCTGGGCTCAGTTGCCTGTCACGTACCTTGCAGGTGACTTTAGGGCCATTCTTGAGGTTGGTAGCTCCATTTACGCCATTAAGGGTCTCTGCTTCGTACTGGTACAGAAATCTTCTGAAGTTCTTGAACCTCTTTGCCACTAAAAATAAGGGGGCATAAATGACTAACGTTGCAATTAAATTTATTAGCAAGAGGGGAGCAATACATATGGACATGTTATGTTGAAAGACATCTAATCTCTAGTGAGATAAGGAGTTTTGGACTCTACCTTTCGCATGATAAAATGGATAGTGTTGACTTTTGTATAAGGATGCTGGCAAGTCAACATGACACTGATCGATGATCTCATCATAGAGTTCAAAGTCACACATTTCTGGCTGAGACCAGTGCAAATTGAGTAGGCCTAGGTGAAGTAATGTTCCCTATAGTTGTTGTGTGTCCTAGGCTACAAGGAGTTGTAACAAAGATTTGCCTATTCCTCTATGGTTATAACAAGCAGTGATAACTTCTCACAAAATCACTCTCCTTTTTGTTTGATATCCTGTTTTGGGTTCTGATGACAGCTGAATTAGTGTGCGCGAATTATCAGAATTTTACCAGAGAGAAAGCTAAGCAGAAGTTTTGTCCTGTCCCATTCACTCTTTTTAAATGTTTGCAAATTAAGTATAACCTAATCCACAAAAAATCCATATCATTGTTGTATCGAATCTACTCGCTTAGTATATTAGCTAGCAAAGTCAACCTGATACTGAACGGTGATATCATCATAAGAGTTCAAAGTCACACATTTCAGCTGACCAGTGCAAGTTCAGTTGGCCTAGGTGAATTTTAGCAATGATCCCTTGAGTTCTTGTGAGTAGGCTACAAGGAGTAAACATTATAACAAAGATTTGCTTATTCCTCTACGGTTTTCGACTGGAGTCTGGAAGAATACGTATTTTCATTGTAATCCTGAGCTAAAACAAAATCCCCTGAATCCTCCTCTCTTCTCGTTGACATTTTGCAACTCTTTTAGTTTTGAAGCTAACTAGTTGAAAACCCGTTTTCCCTAGAGACCATTATCTACTGGAAGAATACCTTCATCTAACATTTAAATAAAGAAAAAACGAACTTACAGAGACAAGTTGGAGATTGTCCCTCGGAATTCCCAATATCTTGCTCTGTGAATAATGAAAATGAAAAAAGGATTAGGAAGTTATGAAATACCAGTGCACAGAATATCATCCATTACAGCTATTGTCTGTCTGTAAAATGTATTCAGAGTATCTGCATATTTTCATTATAGGCCTATATGTCAATGACAATTTAAAAAAGTATAAGTAAGCTACCCAGAATTAGTTACATTGTCTCTTGTTAAATGTAGACCTATTTCAACACAACTGGATGCTTGTAGCACAAAACTACCAAAACGAATGAAAAGCATGTATTAAAAATGGACCTCAAAAACAATGTGTAAATTGCGCTGTACTTACGGGCCAAAGCATAGGTGCCTAGCAGCAGCAAAAGGCAGAGCTTAGTATCCCCCATGATGGGTTGGAAGAAGCTCTGTAAGCCTTTGGGATAGAAGAGTCCTTGCTTTCAGTGAAGACTGATTCCTCTGCTTTGGCTCGAGGCTTTTATAGTTCTCACAGCCCTCTTTCAGAAATCCACTACTGCCTGAGTGCCGCCCTGGTTCCAGAGTTCAGACCGTCCTTGTGGCAGGGCAAAGGTAGGCCTAATTCATTTCACAAACACTCCCAAGACTTGTCAGCACTGGACTTGATTGGACTCTCTGATTGTATTAGATTAGCTTTTTTATTATTATTATTTAACTTTTGTTTTTACAAACTGAGGTTTTTCATGCTTTAGAAACAAGTGATTAAAGTAAGGGGTTGTATAATAAACTCGTTGTGTATTTTTTTGAAATGTTGCCACTGGTGTTCAAGTACTGTAGTGAATTATTTATCATTGTTACATGGGATTTACTGTACACCTGTACTGATATTTGTGTTGTATTGATGATTGTGGTCACATGAGAGATTGGTGGCCTGCAAGTCTTTATTACACACTCAGAACATGCCTACTAACATGAATAGCTTGACTTCATTGACTGCTTATCTGACTCTCTCTTTATTTGTAATGGCGTCCAGATTATTGGCAACATAGGAGAGGCCATGGAGGCCGCCGACGCCACAGTGAAGACCACCCTGCTAAATTTTTTATTTATTAATTTCATTCATTTGTTTGCTGTATGATTTTATTATATTTCCCTGACATTTTTTAATACTATCTACAAGACCCTGAACGCTATTTATCCACTATCTACAAGACCCTGAACGCTATTTATCCAACTGAATATCATATGTACACATTTATAATGGACAGATGTGTAAACTGAGGCCTTATAACATGTAAATTAAAAGAAGGCAACAGTAATCAACCAAATTTCAGTTGATTAATATAGCGCCCCTCTTGGGCCAATCAAAGGAATTTTGTAAATGCCAGATCTCTATGGCAAGATGCATCATTTACCCAAGTTTAGTCCAAATCAGGCCAGTGGTGTCTGACATATCGTGTGTGACTAACGTACAAACGGATGGAGACAGATCCATAGTCCCCCCTTTCACCTCTATAAAGAAATCTATGAACAACTTTGCTCAGGATTACCACAGAAGTGCACTCAGTCAGTCTGCTGATATTGGCTAAAGTGAGAAGATAACTTAATCAGGCAGAGAAACACAATGTGAAGTTGCATAAGTCCTTTAAAGAGTAACCTCAGGACTGAAGAACACTATTATCTACAGAAAATGTTTTGAGTAAACGTTTAAGGCTTCATAGAGACCAGTCCTAATTCTAAAAAGTAGGAGATTGAGAAAAAGTAGCCAAAGAAAACATTGGCTCTCATAGTACTTCAGTGTTCATACTTATATATCTTCAATGCCTAAATCAACTGTGATATCACTCATTTTAATTAAATGTAGCAATTTAAATAAATACACAGTAAATCAATGTTCATAAGCTTACTTCACAGTTGATTTTATGGCGAATTGAAAACTACAAGTTTGTACTGATAGAAAGCTGTTTTATTTACTGGTACTCCTTTAGGCATGAACAATGATCAAATGAGTGATTAGGCAACATTAACAATAGGTTTATGCCTAAGTTAAGAATATAAAATAGACCAGGGAGCGCAGAAAGGGGGTTGGTCCCATACAGACTAGGGTTGAACATGGGTTGTAGGTCTCATTTGGCATAAAATTGTTCGATGCCGTTCATTTGTTATGAGTGTGCTGGCATGAACACTTTCATGCCCCCCTCCTAGCACCCCCCCCCCCCCCCTCCCCACCAACAACAAATAAACAAACAAAGATAAACAATAACAACATCAGAACAAACAAACAACAACACAACTACCTACATGCATTGTTACAAGGAAGTAGCATTGGGCTCATTGGACCCATAATATTGTATGCTACCCTCATAAAGTACTTATTTTGGTTTCAAAACTATAAGTCCTACAATCACATGCTTAGTACTTTTAGAAAGGTAAGAACTGTGATTCTGATATAGGTGTCAGAAACAATGTGACTAGTGCCATATGTCCACCAGATGCACATACATTTAGCCATTTGTTGTTTTTGCCCGCATTTTCCGTACTTGATGCACATGTGCGTCACAAGGCTGCAGAACGGTTTGCAGCATGGATAAGATCCTTTTCACCCTGTTTAGCCAAAGCTAATAATTAGAACAAATTAAAGTTATTCTCCTGTCGACCTACTGGTTTCATAGGCTGGCAGAGCTACCAACAGACTGGCGCGCACAAGGGCGCATTACAACAATTTATCTAGTTGGATTCTATTCTTCTGTCATTCATCTCTAGCAATAAATTGAACTGGTTGTTCCCATATAGAGTACTGATTTTAAATCACTAGCTTGCCCTGCATGATGGCATGCTAAATTACGCACAGAACAGTTCTGTGCATATACATTTTGTACACCATTCTGTTGGCTGGATGGTATACATAGTCTCTACTGAAGTCTCTACCTATCCATTCATGTAAATATATCCCCTGTCTGATTCTCAGTTTGTCCACTAGATGGCAGTAGGAGATCACATGACGTCTCTTGGCCACTTGAAACCAGTTGGGTCTGGTTTGGGTAGTGAGGCACTGAACGGATATTCAAGCCTGACACCTTAAAATTACCTTAGTAATCAGGGCTTTCAAGTTATGGAGTTTTTTTGTTGTTGAAATAAGACACAGACAGGTGAGGAAACTTCAAACGTATTTTCCCATTCACTTTTTCTTAGTACTGAGCGATTAGTGCTTTTTGAGGTCGGTTCGGTTTTGGTTCGATTATAAAAAAAATAGTCATTGTTTTCGATTTCGGTTTTCATTGTTTTTTAAAAGCATTTAATGCACTGTGCATTATGTGGGTTGAATGCTGTAACAATACAGAATAAAACAATTCATTAAAGTCCCATGATGGTAGTGATTGCCCATTACTGCTTATCACTTATTAACTATCATTTATTCACGTTCTTTACTTTAATAAAATATTTCAGTTGTTATATATTATATTTGTTTTATTTGATTACTTTATTATTTCAAATCAAATCAAATGTATTTATAAAGCCCTTTTTACATCAGCAGATGTCACAAAGTGCTATACAGAAACCCAGCCTAAAACCCCAAACAGCAAGCAATGCAGATGTATGTTCCAAGTTATCATCTCATCTCTATAGAGCTGCTGCCTATGCTGTCCAACAAAATCACTATTTTAGTAGTTCTTCAAAGTAAATAAGGCATATTTTTATGACTGCTGAATACTAACTCTCAATCACTTGGATCATGTATTTTCAGGTAGAGATACCTCGCGAAGCAACTGCTCTCTATTCCTCTCGACGCGCGTCTTCTGTCTCTACTCTCCCTCTCCGTGTCTGCCGCACACAGACCAGACAAGTAGGTGTGCAATTGATTATGGTCATTGTAGTTAATTACCATGTTTTCTGGAGGATGCATACAAGGTAATGTAGATGGAGAAATAAATGCATTGCTTTACAATGACCATCAGGATGTACAGTGGCTTGCGAAAATATTCACCCCCCTTGGCATTTTACCTATTTTGTTGCCTAACAACCTGGAATTAAAATGAATTTTTTGGGGGTTTGTATCATTTGATTTACACAACATGCCTACCACTTTGAAGATGCAAAATATATGTGTGTGAAACAAACAAGAAATAAGACCAAAAAAACTGAAAACTTGAGCGTGCATAACTATTCACCCCCCCAAAGTCAATACTTTGTAGAACCACCTTTTACAGCAATTACAGCTGCAAAACGTGTTTTCTTTTTTCTTTTTCTTTAAGCAATGGCTTTTTTCTGGCCACTTCTTCTGTAAAGCCCAGCTCTGTGGAGTGTATGGCTTAAAGTGGTCCTATGGACAGATACTCCAATCTCCGCTGTGGAGCTTTGCAACTCCTTCAGGGTTATCTTTGGTCTCTTTGTTGCCTCTCTGATTAATGCCCTCCTTGCCTGGTCCGTGAGTTTTGGTGGGTGGCCCTCTCTTGGCAGGTTTGTTGTGGTGCTATATTCTTTCCATTTTTTAATAATGGATTTAAATGGTGCTCCGTGGGATGTTCAAAGTTTCTGATATTTTTTTATAACCCAACCCTGATCTGTACTTCTCCACAACTTTGTCCCTGACCTGTTTGGAGAGCTCCTTGATCTTCATGGTGCCGCTTGCTTCGTGGTGCCCCTTGCTTAGTGGTGTTGCAGACTCTGGGGCCTTTCAGGACAGGTGTATATATACTTAGATCATGTGACAGATCATGTGACACTTAGATTGCACATAGATGGACTTTATTTAACTAATTATGTGACTTCTGTGACGACCCTCCCACTCTGTCTGCCGTATTCTCTCTCTGCTCTTGTTTCCTTATTAGGATGCCGGTGGGCGGAGTTGGGAGTGTCGTCAGCTACATGGGAAACACCTGGGCCGGGTGTGTCCCAGCATAAAAGGACCTCTTCCACATTCATTGAGGAGACTCTCTCCAGGCAGATACTTTGATTTTGGTATTTTTGTGGCTTTTTGGTTGTTTGCTTTGGCACCTTTCAACACCTTTCCATATTACATTTATGCATGCAAACACTCACTTACACTACTGATTACTGATTACACACACCATTGTTATTTGATTTAGTTTACTTTAGTTAATAAATATATACTTTGAGTATTCCTTGTTTCCAAGTGTCTCCCTTTTGTTACGAACTTGAGCCGGTTCGTGACAAGTGGGGGCTCGTCCGGGATCTTGAACTGGTTGTGTTTGGGAGAACGTGGAGTTAATGTCAAATTCTGTAGGGTCTTTGTTTGTACATTTTGTTAGTTTGTTTGAGTTTGATAGGCCCAGTATTGGTTGCCTTTGGGTTTTGGGTTGTGTACTGCGTTGGAGAGAGTACATTGGTTAGTTTCCAGGCCCTGCCCAGCCTGGAAACTCTTGCTCTACTCGCTGTTGGGACATCGGTCGGAGGTGAGTACAATCGGCTGTGTACCTCAGTGGGAGATTTGGATAGGGTAGTGACATTTGCTACCCTGAGCTATAGCTTTTTCCCCTGA